GTAGGAGCGAATTTCTGTTGCTTGAAGGCATTGGCTTTCATCTGAATCTGTACCAAAAACTTACTGTAATTTGGTGTCTTGGTCCAGAGTCCTACCTGATTCAGTTGTGAGTTGATTAGAGGATTTTTGCCTTTATTTAAAGTATTGAGGAGATGTTACAGTGTGCTTTGATAAAAATGAACTGAGCTGAAAGGTAAAATGTTTGCTTCATTGTTCAAGTATTCCCTGTGTTGCCTATTTTGATTGTGTATGGATCGAATGAAATAGAAAAAGATCCTTTATTCAAGTCTTTGAAATTTAATTTCTCTGTAGGGTGTCTGGAGACTGTAGGGTGTCTGTTATGAGAAAATTTTAGTCGACGATCTTGAACTTGCCACTAGGCCAAACACGTCTGTGACCACTCTTTTGAAGTGTAATAAGCGGGATGAATGCACAAACCCTTCTTGTCAATGCTTTTAGAATGTGCTAAAGTCCAGCTGGCAAGGAAATACCATGGTGACCCAACCTCATTAAAAGTTGCAAAGATGCAAATATGATTGTAATCTTTTTGGCTGATATGGACGCAGTCCTGCAGCATGAGCTGATCACCAAATCAGCTGCTTGTTGTTGTTTGTTAATAATAAAAAAGAGAGGCTGGGACACTGCATATTTATCATGCATTATTCATTCAAATGAAAAAATATTGTCATCTGTTAAGAAATAAATGGGTTTCCTGTTAGAATCAGCCAACAATGACATTTGCTTATAATCTCATAACCAAAAATTCCAAATGCCACAGTAGTTATAAATAAGTACGGTCAAGGCAAGGCAAATTTATTTGTATACTGTAGCACAGTTTAGTAAAACGACAATTCAAAGTGTTTTACATGAATCAGACAATAAAATAGGAGAAAATGAAAGCAGAATATAAGCAAATAAAGGTAAAAGTATTATAAAAGCAGGTAGTAAAGTAAATATAACGGTTAGACCAACACCTTAAACTAATAATACCTCAGTTAACAGTTTAGCTTCAACAGTCAAAGACGGTTCCTAACAAATGGGTTTTTAACTGTGACTTAAAATAACTAAGCCTTTAAGTTCTTTTACAGTATTTTGGAAGTTTGTTCCAGATAAATGGAGCATAGGAAGTAAATGCTGCTTCTCCATGTTTGGTCCTAGTTATGGATGTACAGAATAGGCTTGAGCTAGAACAGAAGGATTTTAAAGTCTATTCTCTTAACTACAAGGAGCCATTGTAAGGACTATAGAACTGGGCTGAGGTGCTCCATTTCTTAGTTCTAGTGAGAACACAGACAGCAGCGTTTTAGATCAGCTGTAGCTGTGTCATGGAATTATTAGGCAAACCTAAGAAGACACTTCTTTTTTCTGCAGTAATCCTACTTTTTTCAGTAATCAATTCTACTAAAGAATGCATGAAAACTCATTCCTGCAATAAATGCAGGAATTATTTTTTTTTGTAGATCCTGCTTGGACATCAGTCGTTTAATCCTGGAAATGTTCTTAAGGTGGTAAAAGGCTTACCTTTTAAGTGCTTTTATGTGCCTCTGAAGGTTCACGTCTTAGTCCATCAAGACACCAAGATTACAACCATAATTAGTGGTTTCTTGCTTTAGCAGCTGAAACTGTGTACTAACTATGGATCTCTCCTCCTTTGGTCCACAAATTACAGTATTACCTCAGTTTTGATTCAATTCAGTCGTAACAATTATGGTGCATCCACATATTGATCTGTTCTATGCATCTAGCCAATGTTTTTTTGCTATAACCTGAGCCAAGGAGAATGTAGATGTTGAAAAGGAAGAGCCCTGGAATGGAGCCTTGGGTAACCCCGCATGTGATTTTCCTGGTATCTGATTTAAAGTTCCCTGCTGACACATACAGTAGTAGTCCCTGTCCTTCAGCTGGATTTAAACCAGTCCAGTGAGGTACTAGAAATGCCGACCCAGTTTCCCAGATGTTCTAAAAAAAATCAAGTGATCAACACTATCAAAAGCCGCACCGATTTCAAATAAAACCAGAACAGTGGTTCTCTCAGAGTCTGAAATTCTAAGGATGTTATTCAACACCTTAATGAAGGCTTCCCTGTATTGTGGTTGGCATGGAAAGACATGGAATACATCGAAATAGACGGTACAGAGTTGTAAACATGTACATTAAAGGCATACTATGCAACATTTTTCAGTTAATTAATGTGTTCCATAACGTTTTGGATGATTAAATGAGTCATTTTAGGTCGAACAAAGGTTTTCTCGGCCGCCCTGGTGGTCTGTAGGGGAAATACCGTACTTGCAATTGCAGGAGCCCTCGGCCCGCACCCACAGACTCAGAAGTCTCGTGCATCGCGAGAGTCGGTCTTGCTTTACGGTGAGAACTGCTACACGCCCCCAGTGAAAGGCATGCTCGTTGCTAGCGCAGTGGCGATATTTGTGCAGTTATCATGGCAGAACCAGCGAGAATTTTCAAACTCGAAAATTGGAACAAAATGGTCACTTACCGCAGTAGACATGGTAATTCGTTGCGTTCGGCTGTCTGCTAAGCTCAAAACAACTGCGCCTGGCTTGACGGAGAAACCAGGAGAACAGCTGAGCATATTTACGACAGTGCACTTTTACTTTCGCCCTCTGGGGGGAGCCTCGCTGGAAAATCAACACCGGTTGCATAGTATACCTTTAAAGTCCCCCTCAATAATTAAATGTATAGTTGAGGATGTTCTTTTTCTGGGTGGCTCATCAAAATCAGTGGTCCTCTTAGTTATCAAGAATTCTGGTGATATGTTTATGTAAGGCCATCCTATGTGATAGTCCCCATTTTCACTTACCAGTGGTGAGTCTGACATAGTGAAAAAAATTACAAATCTTTTTATGAAAGTAAGCTTGTATGATCAAACACTTATCATCATTAATTGTTGAGCTACATCATGGGGCTGTTTGTTTTTAGACAAAGAACAAATAAAGGAGCTAAGCTTTACTTACCTTAAAAAAGCATTACATAGTCTTCCAATAATACCGCCTCCTCTGGCCAAAACACAGAACTGCAGCTCTGTTCTGCTCCTTCTCTCTCGTACTTAACTGTCACCATGGTGCTAGAGGTTTGACAGGACCCAAATGCAGACTGAAGCTGAGGGAGTTTTCTTGAAGTTTAATTAACCAAAAGTTCAACAGTAGCAAAAATCCAAAACATAAATCCACAATAATCCAAAAATATTGAAGGCAAGGAATACTCAAAACAAGGGGGCTGGTTTGTCGTCTTTGCTGACGAAATGGGAGAGACAAACAAAGACCAGGCTAATTAGCAGATTGGGATAAGGTGTGAACAGAGACAAGAAGGGAGCTAGGGTCCAAAAACAGAGTTTAAACACAAAACAAAACACCAAAGGTGGGCGAGGCCAAGCAAAGTCTCCGGAGGCCGGCTGTGCGGCCGGAGGCCAAGTGGAGTCTCTGGAGGCCGGCCCTGAGGCCGGAGACAAGGCAGAGTCTCTGGAGGCAAGCCCTGAGGCCGGAGTCGAGGCAGAGTCTCTAGAAGCCGGCCAGAGTTTAAACACAAAGCAACCCACCAAAGATGGGCGAGGCCAAGCAAAGTCTCTGGAGGCTGGCTGTGCGTCCGGAGGCCAAGCAGAGTCTCTGGAGGGTGGCCCTGAGGCCAGAGACAAGGCAGAGTCCACGGAGGCCGGCCCTGAGGCCGGAGGCGAGGCAGAGTCCATGGAGGACAGCGACGAAGGAGGACCTCTGGAGGACTAGAGAGGAGATAGAGGACACTAGAGAGGGAACACCAGAGGGGCCTGAGAGTGGAGGGGCAACACTAGAGGGACCTGAGAGTGGAGGGAGAACACTAGAAGGATCTGAGCCTAGAGAGGGGACTCTAGAGGGACCTGAGCCTAGAGAGGGGACACTAGAGGGACCTGAGCCCAGAGAGGGCAAACTAGAGGGACCTTAGCCTAGAGAGGGCAAACTAGAGGGACCTTAGCCTAGAGAGGGCAAACTAGAGGGAGCTGAGCCTAGAGAAGGCAAACTAGAAGCAGCTGAGCCCAGAGAGGAAAATACTAGAAAGAGCTGAGCCCCGAGAGGGAAAACTAATCTGGTTGGGTGGTGGAGAGAGGCTAGGAGGAGTATGGTTAGTAGCAGGCTGACCAGGGGGGCTCTGAAATTTCTGGAAGTGACTCACAAGGAACTTAAGTTGTTGGGAAAAAGGGATTATGAACTTGTCCTGTTGTATATCCAATTGATTGATGTCCTCTTTTAATAAAGCCAGTTGCTGCTCCCGTTTCTCCAGCTGTCTCTCTCTGGTGCCCAAAACTAAGACCAAGTCTGCTGGGTCCATTTCTGGCTGGTTTGTAGTGTCACAATGGTGCTGGAGGTTTGACAGGACATATAAAACTAGAACAAAACCATGACATTAACAGTTTTTTTTTTCTCTTTTTTCACCTTATGTGGAGTTGCCATCTGTGTCTGAGTTGACCAGGATGATTATCCACAAACCCATCTTGAATATAACATTTTGATTTTTTGCTAGGTATAGATGCTTTGGCGCTGAACTACTATGGTGTCAGTCTGCTCATCTAACAATGTTTTATTTGTAAAGGGTCAAGTAAAAAGGTTATTGTAAATATATTTTTGAGAAAATATTATGTCTCTTCAACTTAAATATCTTAGTTAAAATAAACTGGCCATAGTCATTTTTATTCTGTATTTCTACTCTGAGCCCCTAATTGTTACATAATGTCAGGATGCTCAAATACTCTAATAAACTACATCCCACACCACTCTGTCCATCATGCAGTCTGAATAGGCATGCTGTTAATTAACAGTAGCTTGAAAAGAAATTCATTTTCAGAGATGATTGTATTCATCTGCTAAACCCTGATAATTTTTTATTTCTTTGTGTAATTGTGAAAACACAAATTAAATTGACGCTATTTTAATGTCATTCTTTCAAGCTGATTGTAACTTCTGTATTGTTGCATGTAAAGAATATTAAACATACCAAACCTGTCCTCTTCACAGGTGGTGTACAAGAACAATGATATCCGCCTAGAGTTGTCTCGGATGGCACGGATTTTGGATCCAAAGATGAAAATCCAAGGTGAGGTGTCCTACAAGTGTGAGAACGTGGCCACTTTGGACCCAATTTCCTTTGAGACTCCAGAGGCATACATCAGCCTCCCCAAGTGGAATACTAAGCGGATGGGATCTATCTCGTTTGACTTCCGCACGACTGAGCCCAATGGACTCATCCTTTTCACCCATGGAAAGCGTCAGGAGCGCAAAGATAATACTCGCAGCCAGAAAAACACCAAGGTCAGTTCATAACCCCTGAAATAATTTCCTATTTCAAGTTTCATTTGTATAAACTTCCCCTGACCATGTTCACAAACAAGAGGTAACAGGCTGTTGGAAGGCTCCAAAACACATTGCTTGTCCTTGTTGGTGCTCTCTTACACAGGTGGATTTCTTTGCTGTTGAGCTCTTGGATGGCAGCCTGTACCTATTATTGGACATGGGCTCAGGAACAATAAAGGTGAAAGCTACCCAGACGAAAGTAAATGATGGTGCGTGGTACCACGTGGACATCCAGAGAGATGGACGATCAGGTCAATATTGTTGTTTTAGTAAAAAGTGGAATTACTATTAATGTTCTACCTTGTGATGCATGTTCAGTTCTGAATTATACTTACTGCCTAAACAGTTTGACATTTAAAAGGATTATTTAAGTTTAGACAAGTTCAGCAAGTTCAACTGTCATCAGTGCTAAAGCTAAACAAACCCTGAAAGGATGATTCCTGATAGACGATAAAGTCTGGGTTGAGGGAGGTTAATAAACATTTATTTTATTTTCATCACTATGTCCCTCTTAAATAAAAAACCCTCTTGAGCCATGTTGCTTAGTCTTTAAGTTTTCTGTTGGTATTAGATTGTATTTTCAGGACATTTAGAACTAAATGGCTTTTTTACCAGAAATAATCTGCTGCCTGTCTAAGGTTTTTTTTTTTTTTTTTTTTTTTTTTATTGAACCTGTCATTAATCTATGAATTTACATTTGTTATTTTAGACAAAATGCTAAAATGATCATATTCTAAATACTATAAATTATCAACGTAGTTTCGTGACAGGATGTGTTCTTGAGTTAGTGAATTAGACAAGAGGTATTAAACACTGAGAAGGTTGTAAGCGTACTGTCTTTGTGCTTTAACCTGGTTAATTCCTGATAAATTACCCTATAAAACTGAACATTTTTAGCCCCATAAGATAAAAAAACCTAGATCCTAGACCTAATTCTGTTAGACCATAAATACACTGATGAGCTCCATTTAAGCCCCAAAGTAACAGTTAAGATTTAATGGTGCAATTGCTGAGTGAAGTGTGTATCATACCAGGGGCCATGTGGTGGGTATATAAATTTTTTATTCTTTTATATCATGTATTGTGTTTTTTGTTAATCTGTCCCTGTCTGTCATAGGCACCATCTCTGTAAACAGCAGACGGACGCCGTTTACAGCTAGTGGTGAAAGTGAAATTCTGGACCTGGAGGGGGACATGTATCTGGGAGGCCTTCCAGTTGACCGGTCCAACCTTATCCTGCCTACTGAACTTTGGACGGCAATGCTGAACTACGGCTACGTTGGGTGCATTCGTGACCTTTTCATTGATGGTCGCAGCAAGGACATCCGACAAATCGCCGAGGCACAAAATGGTGCCGGTATCAAACCCTCATGCAACAAACAACAAGGAAAACAGTGCGAGAGCTACCCATGCAAAAACCGAGGAGTCTGCAAGGAGGGTTGGAACAGATTTATCTGTGACTGCACCGGCACTGGGTACTGGTCCCGCACCTGTGAGAGAGGTAAACTTCGATATGGAATTTTACTTTGGTTACACTGTTATGGGGTAAGGGAGCCAAACATACTTTAAAGCAGACATTTTTTGTGTTTAAAAAGGAAAAAGTCTAACACAAAACAAACAACGGTCCAAGAGACTAAATTGAGTTGGAGGTATCCAAGTGACATATTTAACTTGCATTCACTGATTTAAAATTGATCCAGCACCTAATCAAAGCAAAGTCTCATTTAAATGACTCTGGAACATGAGTGAAGACTTAACTGCTGGCAAGATCAGATGAGGTTATTAATTAAACAATTTTTCCTAAAGTAGCACATAATAACCAAAAACATAGAAAAGATAAAATGGATATTAAAAATAAAATGAATAATTTAACACAAAAAAGCTCTTTCTTCCAATGTGACACCTTACACATTCATATAAGGTTGAAGCACAGCACTCGATTTATAAAACAGGCCGGAATTTGGGTCTTGGTCAGGATGTTTCTCAAAGGAGACACAGCTTAGTTTCAAAATGCAGTGATAGGGTTCTATTTGTGATGGTTTATTAAGAAAGGATTTAAGCTTCAATTCCAGTCAAAATACATTATTAGATTGTTGGAGATATTAAGGTGTGCATTGTTTGATAAAAAAAAAGTATGTTCTTTAAATAGCCATAACAAATAAATTTCCTCCATCATCAGAAGATTTTAAAAATCCTTTTGATTTTACTTTACTTATTTGCCTTTTGAACTTTTGATCATCCCTTTAGATTGTTAAACAAAAAAATAATATTTTCAAATAAGAGTTATATTTAAAAAGGCAGCTATCAAGTAATTGTTGGGATAAATATAGCACCACTTAAGGTGATGATTTGTTTTTGCTCTCAGTGTTTGGAGGCCATTTTGAAACCTGTTTATATGTTCAGAATAAATCCCCCTTATTGATGGATTAAACAAGCAGGTTTTAGATTACAACACAGTATCACCTGAGTTAGAAATTTCCTGCCCCTCTACATCCTTCTGCATCCTTTCCGTAATCTCTTCACCGTCCGACTTTACCGCTGAGCTGACTGCAGACTCTGTCTTCAGAGAGATGTAAATTAATTCCTAATCCGTTTACAGCTGACACACAAGTTTTCTGTTCTGCATGAGTCTCTCCTGAATTCGACACACATCTGTAAGGAAGGTCTTCCCAAGGCAAGGAACCTATCTACTGGAATTAACTACAAATAGGTGGAGTTGTTGCTGTATTGCTGAACAGTTTCACTCATTAATCTTTGGTTGATAAGCCATCACTTTTCAGTTTAATAAAAATTTGGGAAAGCAAAAAAATTGGGAAATATTAATTATTATCAATATTAGAGTCAAATAAACCCCAATAATGATACATCTGTCATTTTCTTTGACAGTTAGATCCTGCTATTTCTTAAGTGTACCACTTGGTTCACCTATTTTCATAAACACATCTCAGCCAGCTTAGAGAAAACCACCGTCCTTTTATCCAGTTTTTCTTCATATGTTCAAACCATTTATTAATTATTTATCAATTAGAAACTAATGTTCGCCCTTTGAAATTGTCTACAACCCCTTTAACATATCAAATAAATACCATCTGATCATATCACCTAATTCAGCTTTTTTTTTTTCTCCTTATTTCAGTTATTCAGTTCAAAAACACCATTACCTCAGAGTCTTATTTTTATGTTGGTAAAGAGAAGTTGCAGATAATCGGCAGGCCAGGCTGCATTAACTTTAGTCTTAATTGTCACAGGGTGTTGTTTGTATATATTAAGATTAGCAAGAACAACATAGTTGAGCTTTCAATGGGTGGTATATTGATTAGAATGTTGCTTTCATATATGTAAGTATTATGGTTTGCAATTTTCAGCGGTTTGCATTTTCCTACTACATATATATATATATATATACACACACATCTTTCATTTCTACAGGTTTTAATGATTTTCCCACAGAAAAAAAACATACATCTGTTATTTACAAAACCTGAACATTGACTAAGATCAATAGAACAAGGATCCTTACCTGTGAAAGGTTTGCCTCCAGAGAAGTACTGTGTAGTTATGCATCTGATGCTTTCAAGGATTCTTTGTACAAGAGGTGCTTAGGGAAGCCCTAGCTCCTTTAACAGCAGCTTTTGGCTCACCTGCGTTGTTGATCTGATATCTCTCATGTTACTTTAGACAATAATCCATAGATTCTCTATGAGGTGTTGGTCAGGTCACTTTACTGACAAGTCAAGGAGTGCAGTAACCATACACTGATTATAGTTTCTGCCTTTTTCTGTCTGTTTTTTTCTGACTAACCCTCATTTAATAGGTCAGGATACAGTGTCTTTTAAACACTCAGCTTCTTGAGTACGGATATTTTTGGTTTTACTCTTGTGGGGCAGTAACTGTGTCTACTGTTAACAGTCTTCATCATTATTTAATATTTTGAGAAACCGAAATGGAAGTTGTCATTAGGTGAAAGCCAAAATCATCAGAGTTAAATAAATTAAACATTTGAATTATACTATTCTGTGTAAGAATTCTGTATAAAATCTGTCACTTTTTTAACAGATTTTCTTGTTTTCATTATTATGTACATCTAATAAAAAGGACACCAGCTTAGAGTCCTTAATAGTTTTAAATGTATTAATTGTGTGGACACCCTCCATCTCACAAGCGGCTGCATTGGAGTAAACATGAAATGTCGGAGTTAATCTGACAGGCCAAATCAAAGCTGGAAGGAGGGCTTAAATAGTAATGCGACACCTTTTCAGGCTCATTTACCTTCCTCTGCCCGAACATTTATCCTACCTGCAGTAAACATGTGAAGAAATAACATGTCAAGTGTGTATTGTTAAACTGATATTATTGGAATATTTAAGCAAATGACTTTATGAAGCTGCTGTGATGTTATCCAGCTTAATTTTACTCTAATTTTAAATTCACACCAGTAAGCCGACAGGTGGACTGTGTCTCCCTCATGTGGCCTTTTGACATCCTTACAGCCTGATGATCATGCAGTAAAAGAGAACAAAAGGACATTTAGAGGACACCTAATGCTTCAGCATTTTGTTCTATCATTTATCAAATTAAATTGTTTTGACAGGAACAATAATAATCTCTGAATGGTTCCAACTGAAGGCCAGAAAAGGGAATCATTGCTGTTCAGTTTGGGATAAAAGGAAGCAGAGATAAACTAAAGCTTTCGGCATATATATGTTGAAATCTGGAAAGCATAAAATATAACCTTTGAAAGAACTTTGAGAGAAATATTCTGTATGTTGTTGTTGAGGCCTATAGAGGAAACTTATTGGAGGTCACAAAAAACATTATGAAAGTTATTTTTGTTTGGTTGTTTCAAATCCATGGTCAGTTCAGCATGAGAATTGTCAACATCAGTTTTGTTTTTGTTTTATACATTTTCTCACATTTTGATGGGATTTTATGTAAGAAACCAACTCAAAGTAATCAATCATTTTTTAGTGGAAAGAGAATAATTCTATTCATCCGTCAGTCTGTCCGTCCATCCATCCATGGGTGAAAGGTGGGTCACACCTGGACAGCTTACTAGTCCATTGCAGGGCAGCACAACCATACACACACGCATGTTGTGTTACACTGTCCTTGTGGGGACTTTCCATTGACTTCCATTCATTTCCCACTAATTTCTTGGCCTAACCATGACTTTTGCTCTAACCATTACCAACACATATCTAACCTTACACCTAACCTAAAATCAATTCACACCTTAGAACAGAACCTCTCCTCATGGGGACCAGTCGTTAGTCGCCACAAGTATCTATAAGTCCCCGAAATGTAGCATATTCCTGGGAAATTGTCCCCACCAGGTAACAAAGACATGGCCACAGACACACCTTCACCCACACACACTCATAAGGAAAATTTAGAGATACCATTTCACCTAATAGCTATGTCTGTGAACTAAAGGTGGAGTACAAGCACGCATGCACAGGTAGAACATACAAACTCCATGCAGACAGATCTTAGGCTGGGAAATTGGATTTGTTCATTGAAATAATAATAATTATTATTATTTTGATCCTTGATTCTATAAAAAGTTATGGACAGATATAATGTTTTCTATCAATCAAAAACTCAATAGATCTCATGCTATAATATCCATTTAATGAACTAAATTGTTTTCATTGTGCAGATATTTTCGATATAAAAAGGTGGTGAATTAAAAAAGTAAATGTTGTTTCAATAAAGTAAACACATAAATGTATTATGCAAATAAAGAATAGGTGAACTTGGTACACAATGCATGATATGGGTAAAATTGATGGGCAGAACAATGACTGTTAAGTGTTGAGACTAAGCACCTTTATTGTCAAATATAGCTTTAACCTGAATGCCAAACAGTTTTCTGTCACAGATGTACAGAGTGTGCAGAAATGTTAGATACCCTTTTCTTAGGCCCATATCTTTACTAGTTCTGGATAGGGAGAAGTCAGTCCTGGTGGTCATCTCTAAAGACTGACTGCTTCTTGCATTTGGACCGTTCCTGTTCTAGAAAGAGCCAAACAGATGTGGTCATGTGAACAAGACAGACTAAATAACAGCAGGCAGTGTAGAAGATGACTAGCAGCTCCTGTGGCAGGTTGTACGTCACTGGGAGTAGACTCCCTGCTTGTCCCTCCTCCAAACAGTGTCTGTGTATGAAGGACAAGCTCAGGTTCTCAAACAGGTGGTTCCTAGGAACCAGAACTTATTCCACACTGTAGATATTTTTGTACACAATGTTGGGGGAATGGTGTTTTTTTTCTGTCTTCTGATGAGAAAACTTCAAAATAAAGTAATTATCAGGATATTTCTGTACATTTTTTAGAATTGCTATTTAAAATTATAATAAACATTTCAACTGGACAAGTGTTTTGGTGTTAGGCATAGTCAAGATAAAACATTTTGTTTATTTTGCAAAGTTCTCTTACTAATGCTTAAATTAAGAAAAACAAACAATTGTAAAGAGGTAATGATGCTTGATGATAGGAGAATGAGGGTTTAAGCAGTTAAGGCTTAAAACAACTGGTTAATTTTAACATGTCTTAAGTTATTTTGTAGGGAAAGGATGATGGAGAAGAAAGGTTTCTGAACCACTTGGACCTGTCAAATCTAAATTACAGATTTTCCAGAAGCAAAATACTTAATTTGGATTTGAACTTATTAAATAAACACACAGCCACTTAAAAAAAAAAAAATCCAAAAAAGGCTACTTTCTCCTCTTTTTGAGGCTCATAGTTACTTTCAATTTCAGTTAAATATAACTTTTGAGTTAAATTGGGTTAAGGACAGTCATAAACAACACTTAGTTTGTCAAGATGTGTGGAACTTGTAATTACCACCTGACTATTATGCGAGATGTTTAGGGTTCATGCTTTGGACCTACATATGCAAAAAGTTACAAAAATTCCAGAACAAATCAAGCCTAAGACTAGAAACATATTGAATTGGGATAGATAAACCATGAAAATCTTGATTTTGTGCAGTCACTTATGGAATATGTCCAAGCTTTTAATTTGTAAATTAGCAGCTTTAGATCATTTGTTTAAATGACCTTTTGGAAAGGAATATTTTGAAGGTCTTGAAAACGAAGTTGTTCTTGTATTTGAAGATCCAAGTTGAAGGTGTGCATGTACGCAAGTCTCACCAGTCAGAAAATCAGAAGTGGACATTTTGTTTGTTAACATCCATTTGGTCTTGCTCCCACAGAGGCCTCCATCCTCTCCTATGATGGAAGCATGTACATGAAAGTGGTCATGCCGACCGTCATGCACACTGAGGCTGAAGACGTCTCACTGCGCTTCCGCTCACAGAGGGCCTACGGGCTCCTCATGGCCACCACCTCCCAGGACTCGGCCGACACGTTGCGGCTTGAGTTGGATGGGAGCCGCGTCAAACTCACAGTCAACTTAGGTATCGTATAACCCCAACCCCAGCAGCACCAGCAGCTCTTTCTTCACCCATCTGCCCCCTCATCTCCATCTTCGCCATGAGACGCTTTACCCTCCATGGGTAAAGTCTCTAATCCACTGCTTTTCCTCTCTTCTCTCACCCCCTTAATTCTTCTATTGACCTTAAGTTTCTGAATAGACCACAGTTTTAGCTTTCTGTCTTCTCTGCATGAGTATCAAAATAGTTTCTGAACCCAAATGTTTTAACAGTGGTAAAAAAAAAATAAAAAATGTAGCGTATCTCTGAAAATAGGAAACAACAAATTTCTTTAGAGATTAATTGAGGAAGTTGCAGCTTAAACTCTCAGGATGTTTAAGTTTCTGAGTGGCTCAGCTAAATCCTTAGAATGAACTCCTACTGCATTTCTCACTAACTCCAGGTCATTTATTTGGTTTGCTAACAGCAGTATCTTAAACGAGCGGTGTGCTTTCTCAGCGTCTTGTTCTTTCCATTCTCCTGTCGCCTTCATCCTTTCATTATGCTGTGTCAAAGATGGTATTCACCCCTTCAAAGGCCTTAAGCCTGCGGCCCGTCAGGCGAACAGCCCGAGAACAGAGCCCAGCAAAACCTGCAGCTGGCTGCGACGCCATGAACCTCCGAACACTGAGGTTCCTGTTTTGATTTAAATTAATCTTTACTCAAGTGTCTGATTTCTAGCACATTTAGGAATGCTAGTGTTAACAGACGTTAGATGATCTATAAATCCCATTAAAATTATTTTATAACTGATTACATTAATCCTTGTCGGATATTAAGCCCCTTAGATTTGTTCAGTGCTCATATTAGCCTGTAGTTTCTCTCTTAAAATGTAAATATTCTCAGTCTGAGCTCCTGATGCAGCTTAAAGCCAAACATAACAGCAGAGTAGCGCTTCAGACTTGAGCTGGGCATCCGGTGCCTCTGCACGGTGCTGGTGCTGATTGGATCGAGGCTGTTTGCTCCCACTTTTCTGTTGCGGTTGACGACACATGACCCACCAGCCACGCGGTGACCAACCCACAGTGTGCTCAAAGCTGCAGACGGCAGCTGCTTAGACTTCATATTGCACTATTTAAGTCTTTTCTCTATGTTAAAAACTAAACAGCCAGCTTTTCTTCTGATCTACAAAAAAAAAAAAAAAAAAGAAATGTAAAAGAAAAGAAACAACAGAATGCAGCTAACCTTTAACATTTGGAGTTGGGTTGGGTTGGAAAAGCCTCGTAGCTGGTACCATAAGTGGCCATTTTACTGTAAAGAAAGAAAAAGTATACAATTTTAAACTTTATATGTATATAAAAAAAAAACATGAACTCTTTGAAACCTTCTATGTATGTTTCATTTATTTTTTCTGATTAAATGATACGGTTTTAATAATAAAAACCCAAAGAATGAAATGGCCACCATCCTGCATGTGTGCGTCCCCGGAAGGGTGGACTTCTTGTTTTTGGATGTCTGCAGCTGTAACCTTGAAGGATGCAATTTCATCTGTCATTTATTCTTCCCCATCTAGACTGTATCAGGATAAACTGTAACTCCAGTAAGTTAACACTCAAGTTTCATTTTGTTGTTCTTGTTGTCTTTTCTTCTTATGTCTGCTCTGCAGTGGCTCCCACTTTACTTTAACCTTTATTATATTAATGTTCAGTATGTCTCAGTTTGGGATTAGAAAATGTTCCTTTTGGATGACATCTGAAGGATTTATATTTTGAATTCTCTAAATAAATGTTAGCTAATAGATTTAACTGAACAAAACCATACGCATAAATACACAATGAACTGCCAAACCGTAAAAGCATAACATGTCAAGCATAATTTAGCCTAACAGCCCCTAAAAGCTTAAATACTAGGCGAATTTTATTAGAGTGAGTGATGGGATCTGTAGACAATAGAGCATTTCAAAAGCAATACAACCCAATAATAATTACACATAAATTAGTTAAAATAAAAACATTCTGCAATGTAATTAAAAGGACTCAAATCAATGACTTGATATTGTGTAAACTATATCATACCTGCTTTTTGTTGTTAAAAAATATTGACATCAATTGCTATATATATAAATACATCCTGTTACTTCTCTTTCTTTCTAATTCTGAGCTTAGAAAGTGTGTTCTTTAAGATTAATAGCTGGTATTAAAGTCCTTTAATTGGTCTAATAAGTTGTTGAAAACGTTGTTACCCTAAATTGATTAATTCTTTGCTTTCAATGTAATGCATAAACTTACATTTTAATTGGATTGTTATTAGTTTCATTCTACAACTCCAAGTCAAATTGATACAAACTTGGAGAATCAGAGCTCCACCCTCTGAGATACGTCTCTGAATGTGTAGACGTGCAAAAATGATAGATAAATATATAGAAAAGAGCTCAGTTGCCATATAAATTAGATATCCGCAGTTTTTGAGACAAATTAAAGTTTCAAAATGAGATGAAAAAGATGAGAATATTTTGTCCATTAACTGTCTGAACTGAAGCTGAATGTTTTAAAAATATAACTTTATTTGTCAAAAACTCGACCTTAATAAAACACTATGGACCAAGAACACCTGATGAGAAAGGTGGACAAAATGAACAAAGAAGTGTGGTGTTGGGGCATAAAGGGAATAACGGGCTTAAAAGTTGGTAGACAGGTAAAATGTTTGCTACTGTGAAGCGATGAAATGATCCCTAGCCCTGGAAGATCTTTCCTCTATTCCTATGTTTTTTTCATATGTCCCAGGGAGGTTTTGATCTACAAACATTATATCTCCTGACAGTCTCCTTATTCTGAAATCTACTTTAATAAGTCCAAATTCAGTCGTGCATCAAAGTAAATCTCATTGTTACTATAGTAACCATTTAGGCAGAGAACAGCCTTTGGAAAGGCTGAAGGAAACAGGAAATTAGAGCCACAATGCTCCTTATTAATAAAGGCTTAAACTAAAGGCAAGCTATTAGAATGAGCGGCTTTATAAATGGAGAGAGGGAGATATATAGGCAGATTTAGTAAATTGGAAATGTTACCACCTTAATGTGAGTAGTAGAGACTGACATTTTTTCGGGAATCCCACGGGTCACGGGATTCCCGTGGGATTCCCGTGGGATGGGAGTCAGTATTAGTAACGATCACGGGATTGGGACGGTACAGGATTAAACATTAACGGGAGCAGACGGGAGCGGGAGCAAACCAATAGTAACTTCCGCTCTGAGTTTTTCACCAGCGCTCAAAAACAACAAGAATGGGAGTGGTGCAGGAGCGGGAGTCATTCTGAATGGGAGCGGGATGGGAGTGGGAGTAATTTCACCAGGAGTGGGACGGGACAGGATTTAGATTTCTACTCTGGCCCGGGATCGGGACGGGACACCATTTTTTTCTGCGGGAGTGGGACGGGACAGGAGTGAAAATCCACTCCCGTGTCAGTCTCTAGTGAGTAGGACCCAGCTACTGTGAACAGAATTTTAAAAAGTCAATTTTTCCCTCCTTGGTTTAGATTCGAACTTAAATGCTTAAAGTAGTCAGTTGTGATTCTAAATGGAAATTGGTTGAAAAATCAGGGTTAGAAACTCAACTGTATTTCAGTGGCATTAGGACCCTGGAAATATACTAATCCTTTGTCTGTGTGGTTCTATCAGCTTTTTCTCTGTTGGTTCTTCATGAAACTTCTTCCAAGGGTTCGGAGAACACAGCCTTCCAGCTTTAGCCTTTTTTCATTAAATTTCCCCTCTTTGAATTGGTTTATTGATTAGTATTATTAGTATTCTAAAGGGTGAAATATACAAATATGCCAAGATCCTCAGCTACTAGGTGACTCATCCTTATTGCTGTGAAGTAGACGCGTATAGTTTATGAGCACATTAAACTTATCAGAAAAAAGTCTATCAATTTTAGTTTTTTAGTATATTGTCTACAAAGAATTAAGATTCAGCTAAACTCTAAATAATCATTGTTTAATACTACCCTCATTTTACCAAATATTTCTAATTCCAGTTGCATATTGACAATGACTTGTGCCATATAAGGAATTAAATTATCTCTCACTGCATCGAGAATTAAAACCCAATTAAGAAGCTTATATTGTTCCTATGTCCACAGATTTTCAGCAACAAACAACAAGAAAAATCACTCCTATTTTAATGATGTTAATGAAGTTTGAGGTGTTAAATCTTTTTATTGGATATTTTTCATAGTGTCCTGGGTAGTGAGGACTTTCTGCTGCTACGTTCACTCATAGTGGGACTATAGAGATGCTTCAAGACATCAAATCACAGCTAAACAATTATAATCCAAGTATACCAGAACAAGAGTTGTTTGAGTTTTAACAGGGAACTCAAGTGGTTTATTAACTAAAGTAATTTTAATAAGGAAATTAGTAATAGAAGTTGGCTGCAGTCTAAACTTCTCCAAAAAAGCCCAGAGGTTTATCAATTTTTTTCTAAATGTATTTGATGTTCCGTTGCAACCTGTTGGACTCAAAATCTTACATGCTCCTCAAAAGTTGGAATATCTTTAATTAAACAGAGAAAGCAGCATGCCAGCCGGACAAATAAAAATAAAAAAATGTTTTAATATAAAGCTCAGTTTTATGAAAAGAAACTTATGCTGAGCTAGACTTTTAAATACATCGTTTAAGATAAAGGTATGGTGAATTTCCACACGTATTTTTTTTATTTATTTTTTTGTTAAGAAAAAATCATTTTCTATTATTTCAACAAACATGTATGATTATAGTTAACATAACCTTTATGTTGGGAATAGCACATTCAGCAGAGATTTACAGACAACCTTTCCTTTCTTTATTACCTCTCAGTGGTTTCCAAAGCCAGCCCCAACACTAACCTATCCAGTTCTGTTTGCATTGTTAGACTTTCTCCCCGTGGAAGATGTTTAAACCATCTCCTTAGAAAGGCATCCAAAAATTATTTCCTCATGCAAATGTGGAGGAAGCGACTCCTGAAGAGCCAAGCACACTGTTAATTGTTAAAAACTTGTTGACAGAACTTTTTAGTGAAATGTATGAATTAAAAAGTAATGCAACATAATTCCTAAATCTCAATCTTTTAATAAATGCGAAGATCATTAATAAAACTGAACTCTGAATAAAAACAGTTTTACTCAGCTGTGCAAATTATTTACTACTAAATTACTCTTTGATGAAGGCAACAGCAATTAAGTTCATCAAAGCTTTTTTTCAATAACAACCAAAGTTTAGCTTTCTTAAACTTATTTTTGAATAAAAGAGCCGAAATCTCTTGTCGAGGGAGACGCTACACTTATAGTCCTTTTTGTTTAGGATATCTTCCCTATTACCTCTCTTTATTAAAGAGTTATTTCCCTTCATTAAAACTGTTTCTAGGCTGTTATGTCTCCATGGTTTCTCCTTTATGCTGGTCAATTATTTGGGCTCTCTGGTCTTTTCTAGGCAGAGAATGGAGCTTTTGGGAGCTCTAAGAAATACTTCCAGGAAATGCATGCTTTGGTAGGGATTAAACCTAAAATATACCAGACACTGGCACTATAGCACTGGACCTGCACACCCTTGATGTGGTGCATATAGCAGATATTATGCCAAGTCCCAATGATTGGTAAGGAAAATCAGTCTTTTGGTCTATTTGTAAAAGGGCTAAACAAAAAAAATGTCAAAACAAGGTGTGAAACTATAAAAGAAAACAGCAACAGTGACAAAACTAACACTGGTGGGGTCTAATATAGTATAGTAAGAATAAGTCTAACTTATTAACAAAAATGCAAACCAAGCTCTTACTTCATGTCATTCTTTGACTTAAATAAGCATTTGAAACAGCCAACCAGATACCCAAAAGGCTAACAAATAAAATCATACAAAACAGACGGAACAAGAAAAGTGATAGAAGTAAAAAAAAATGACAATGAAAGTAATTCAAAAAGCCTTAAGTTTAGATTTAAGCTTGAGCTGGGTCCACGGTACAGGTGCTGTTACTAAGAAAGCCTTTTCACCCCAAAGTTCATATTTAGTTTTTGGGACAACTACCTCTACTACTCACACAGAAATAATAAATAAATCAGAAATGAAAGTTGGGACAAGACTATTATAATGAAAAATAAAAGTTCAAAATCAATCCAAAAATTGACAAGCGGGCACTAGACGGAGGCTAAACAGGGGTGACATGCTCGCGGCTTCAGTTGTGCAGGGACTGAAAGACCCCTGGAAAGGGATTGGAAATCCTTGACTTCCAAAGTACTTCCAACATGAGACCAAAGGGAAATTTTTATAAACCTTGGCAAGTCAACAAAACAAATAAAGTGTACATTCAATTAAAATACCTGCTTAGTTCAAATAACTGCTTCAATATAAAGGAAGGTGGGGCAAAATCTTTTTAGTTTTCAAATATCTTTTAAGGGTTGTGTTTCTTTTGGTTTCAAAATGAACCAATTTTTTTTATCATCCTATAGTAAGTAGAAATATTTTTCCCTCCAAACAGCATCAATCTGATGTTTATGAAGAGATTTGTCAACTTTTTTGTTTTTTTTCTCTTTGTGTAATTCACTGACTGAGCCAAACCTTTGTTTCCCAAATGAATTAGTTCTACGCTTGATAATTTCTGACCCTCTGTGCAGCCTGCAAAGTTTGTGCCCAGACCTTTGGGTGGGAAGACAAAGGTTTGGTTTGAGGCTGACCTTGTCCTTAACTTTGTGACTGACCATTGTTCTCAGGCAAGGGACCGGAGACCCTGTATGCTGGGCAAAAGCTCAATGATAATGAATGGCATACAGTGCGTGTGGTGCGTCGGGGCAAAACCTACAAGCTAACGGTTGACGATGATGTAGCAGAAGGTACTTAATCCTGCATCAACTGGAAATGTTCTCAGTGTTGCTTTCTCAGTGTATTTTCACCATGCTGGGGTGTGTTAGCTATGAAACATTCCTCTAATACTGTTAATGTAATTTTTTTCCTTAAATCAGCCCTTTTGTGTTAGTGTCAGACAGAGTTCTCTTTTCTTTTCGTTTTGTTTGTCTTTCTTTTCAACCCATCCCCTGCACCCTCCCCGTCTGCAGGACAAATGGTGGGCGATCACACGCGGCTGGAGTTCCACAACGTCGAAACAGGAATTATGACTGAGCGTCGCTTCGTTTCCACCATCCCATCCAGCTTCATTGGTCACCTCCAGAGCCTCAGGTACATTTTACTCTCATTGCTGCATTCATGTAGGTTTTTATATTAAGGATTACAAACATCTACATTTAGATTTTCATTAAATAAGACCTTGATTTGTATTAGGCAGGTTAAAACCCTTGTTAATTCATTTGATATGGTATGCACCTGCATTTTATCAATATAAAATCATCAAAATGTACATTTCTCTCAGGAATCAGATTCAAAAAGTGACTCTAGAGGTCTACTAAACAAAGAAAAAACAGTTTCTTAGAAAATTTGTTTCTATACCCATAAAAAACAAAAAAATCATGGGGAAGACTGCTCACAGTATATAGTTAATGAACCCCCCTAAAAATGCAACACTGCAAATTATTTGGTTCTTTCCAGGATAAAAAAAAAAAAAAAAAAAAAAAAAAAACTATATCTTAAATCAAAAAATCTTGTCAAGTAAAATCATCTTGCTACATGAACAGATAATTTCTCTTGGTTTACGTAGATTTGTGCTGGGATTTTGTTACTTTTTCTTGGTTTTAGACACCTCTTTTTTGCTGTGTAATCTAAAAAAATGTAATGCTTAGGCAGCTGGCTGTTCAAAAAGTTAAGTGGAAGGCAAAAATGAGTGAGAAATTTGTGCAAAGTATAAGTAATAATACTTTTTCTCCACAGAGGCTTTGAGGCATGAGTTGTTTACTGAGGCTTGGGTCACTTAAACAATCCATGCACACAAACCTACCAGGAGCATGGACTACAATTGTTATACCACTTTTGAACCAGAGATAATATTCCTTAGTTAGTTAAAAAATGAATGTATTAATTTGGAAAGTAAGGGTCCAGTTTCTGAAGGAAGAAGGTTTGACTTTCACTCTAAGGTTTCCAGTCACTGATTAATTGGGAAAACTCTGACGTCTGTAGGCTTTGGTTCTCTAGATTTGAGACTGATCCCATTCATGTCACGACACAATAATGCAGTAAATCTTGCAAAATAATTCCTAGTTAAGTATTTAGTGAATCAGAATCACTTTACGTGTGACCCAGCCTGGAGCTTGAGCTCCGTTTGCACGAAGCCGGCTTTCAGTACATCCCATCCAAGACAAGACAAAGCCCCGCCATGACACATGGTGGGGACAGTGTCAGAGGCCTTGCTGCATTTATTTAGAGCCACTTACATTACATCAGATAAAAAAGAGAAAACGATTACAATGGTTTAGAGGAGGAAAAAAAAAAAAATTTACAAATTTTTGTAAAATTTAGTCTGAGATGGTAAAAAAAAAGAAACCTCAGCAAAAAAGACGCATCACAGATTAAAAGAACAGAAATCTTGTGCATAGGTGTACAATGAATGTACACGATTCACAATGGCCTACTGTGACTTTTCTGTATTAAACTTTTCATTTTTTATTTAACTGGTGCAATGTTAAGTTCTAAAGAGAAATTATTTTATGTTTACATTTGCTGTGAGCCATAATCAACCAAACAAACACAAATAATTGGTTAGAATATAGCACTTTATCTAAATAATAGCATACATATTTAGCGAAATAATTGGATTGTGTCGAAATGAATAAAATAGTGTTTTAATAAATGGGGATTTAAACGATTCGTTTTTTTGTGCTATGAAGTAATATTTTTTTTTAAAATACTTTAAACTATTCTACTTTTTTTTTCTCCTCATTATCTCACTTGGATGAATTAAAAGATGGTGTCCATGTCGTAGCTTGATTACTTTTTCTTCTCTTGTGAGATTGTTCCTATTTGTGATCAGCTCAAAAGTTGCAGTGAATAAATATAACCTAAACATCAAGTGCAAATAAAGCTGGATGTCTGCTGAATGCTGAAGCCTTAAACTTTTTATGGAAAAAAGCTAATATATATATATATGTCCAACAGCACACAAGTTGTTTTAAGTAAAAACCATGCACGGGGTGGGGAGTGTTGGCTTAGTGGGTTAGAGCTGCGTGGTTGTGCTCTGAGAAGGTTGTGAGTACCCAGATCAATCCCCAGCCTGCACTTTGAGTCCCTGAGCAAGACCTTTAACCCCACACTGCTCCCTGGGAGCCACACAATGGCAGCCCACTGTTCCCCAAGGGGATGGGTTAATACAGAGGTGAAATTCACCAGTGTGAGAATAAAGTTCAATTATTGTATTATTTTTATTATTTAAAAATGTCGGGGTTGTTTTAACCAATCTAATGTTCTGACATTATGAACCAGCTGTTCACAAATAGTCCAGATTCCACAATGGCAGTAAAAGTGCGTGTTTTTCATACTAGAAATAAATGCCAACTTCAACATTCTGTAATTCACTCTCATTATGGGGGACAGCGTAAAAAAAAAAACATGAGGCAAACATTACCAAATATTCATAAATAAACTTAAATAAACATGTAAAAGTAACCTGACAAAATATCCAACCCATTGGTACTGTCTGAAGGGAGCAGAAAGATATGAATGCTTCCTAAACACATCTTTACAGCACCTCACGACATTCTAATCAGAAAATATTGAGTCAGGTATTGCTATTTTTTTTCTATTTTAGAAGTGGAAATTGAAATAAAATTCAATTAATATGTATCTATTTGATCTACTTAAGTGACAAGAGAGCCTTCCTGTCTTTAGGTTTTTAAGATTTTATTTACATCTCTGAGGTGAAATGTATGTACAAATCGGTACCCTTTATATGTTTTGGTAGATAAAAAAAAATCAACAAATACAATTTCTAAATAACTCAAAACAAAATTGAAAATAATAAGATATATATTCAGTTAATCAGAATATAACTGCATATAGAAAATTATTATTATTATTATTTTTAGTGGCTCACTATATGAAAAAGAACACAGAAACATTACAAACAGACTGGTGTTTTTAAGACTTTATTTCTGTTAATTAGAAAAGTTATCTGCTAATAGCAAACAAAAAAAGACCTTTTACAATTAGAACGTAAGACGAGATCAATAAATACTATTTTAAAACAGTAAAGAAGGTATCTGATTTAAGGTTATTTTCAGAATTAAATCTTTCATCTGATAAACAGCCTATTCTCATTAATTAATCTGCACATATATTGAGCTAATTTCCTGTAAGGTTCCTTTTAAGCAGCAATGGCTTTTTTTGTAATCTAGACCATCTTAATTAGTAGTTTCCATGATTTCTCTGCTTTTTTTCAAGTTGTAAAGCAGAAGATAAACAGTGTTCAAAAGTCTCATAACAAGAAACAAAAATCCAGCAAAGAGCTGACAGAGAACCTGAGAGATTTATAATCATAATTACTGTAGTTAATCATCTTATGAATGCTGCTTTCAGATCATAGCTCCAAAAGACTATTCATTTGAAACAGCCAATAGCTGATTTGTAGACAGAGTAAGGCTTAATAAAAAAAAAACTAGCATTTGTTTGAAACATGGTTGCCTTATTTATTAGTAAAGAAGAAGTCAAAAAAAATCTTTAGAAATCTGGGGAACTCCTAATCAAGAACTTTTTAGTGGCAATGTTGTCAGTGTGGTTCTTTGGTAGAAGATATTAGTCCTATTAGTCTATGTTCTATTGTTGCCATACAACCTTGATATTTTTATGCTGTGAAGGACATTTAATTGAGGTAAAATTATTCATTGCATGTTTTTTTTTTCCTTCCTTCAGATTTAATGGCATGCTGTACATTGACTTGTGCAAGAATGGCGACATTGATTACTGTGAGCTCAATGCTCGCTTCGGAGTTCGCTCCATAATAGCCGACCCGATTACCTTCAAGACAAAAAGCAGCTACCTGAGCTTAGCTACCCTGCAGGCCTACACATCCATGCATCTCTTCTTCCAGTTCAAGACCATCTCCCCTGATGGCTTCATTCTCTTCAACTCTGGCGATGGGAATGACTTTATTGCTGTAGAATTGGTAAAAGGGTAAGTGACTTTTTTAAAGCGTATCTTTTTTTATTATTTTGCCTGGCAAATATATGTCTAAACAGTTTCAAAGCAAATGTCTGTGGCCTGTTTTAGTCGATATAGCCTAGATGTATAACTCTCAAAGCAAAGTTTGGATTTTATCAGATCTCTTTGAAACTGAACACATTTTCCCTTTGCAGATACATCCACTATGTTTTTGATCTTGGAAACGGGCCCAACCTCATTAAGGGCAAAAGTGAAAGGTCACTAAATGACAATCAGTGGCATAATGTGGCTATCACCCGAGACAACAGCAACACCCACACCCTGAAAGTAGATGCCACAGCCACAAGTCAGACCATCAATGGAGCCAAGAACCTTGACCTGAAAGGTAGGCCGATAATATGACATTTCTCCTGATTTCATCTTTCTTTGCACCTAATGTTCATTCAGATGAGCACTGCTTCAATCCAAATCTCTTATTTTTCTTTTCCATCAACTGTTTGAGTTTTGCATTGTGTTTTCTTTCATCCTGTAGCTGCATTTCAAAGGTTTATAAATAAAATATTGCAAAAGGACATAATTAAGACTGTAGAAATGCAAACCTCTATTCTATATCCAACCATATACTCAAACAAATGAAGCCAAACAGTACTTTTTTATGATATATTTTTTTTAACAAGCCAAACCTGCACTGTTTCTTCCTCAGGTGATCTGTTCATCGCAGGGCTGGGTCCAGGCATGTACGGAAACCTACCCAAACTGGTGGCTTCCAGAGATGGCTTTCAGGGTTGCTTGGCTTCAATCGATCTAAACGGTCGCCTGCCGGACCTCCTTAATGACGCCTTATTCCGCAGCGGCCAGATAGAGCGCGGATGTGAAGGTACACCGTCGCTCAGGTCTCAGCCTGATTTAGACTCCTACAGCACAAGGTTCAACTCCAGCTCCAGGAGTCCTTTCTTCCTGCTCAATGCAAACAGTAGCTCCTCAGCTCTGCATCCATACAGGAGTAACTCCATCCTACTAACTGTGCTCATTGCCTCATTTACTCACTGCTAGATTCATACCAAACATCCAATGCTTCCTCATCTCCACCACATTATTGGCCACATTGGCCATTCATCATGTGTACCATCACAGCCGCTATGAGAGCAGTTTTGCCAGTTCAGTCCTTCAAACTTCTTACTGGTGCTGGTTTTTTTTTGTCTTTTATTTAAGATTTGTTATATTCACCTTGATGTAAATGATAATTCTTAATCAATACAAAAAAATCCACTCTCCTCCTTATGTATTGGATTGATATTTATATTGAATGGTCTAAACACAGACACACGTTAACCAACACAAGTATTTTTCTAACATATTAATCCCTGCCTATTTGGTTTGCAAATCTTGTTCCCCTGCAAAGACATATTGATTTAGAGGGCCTAATATAGTTTTTGAAAGAATAGATGCTCGATTTCTCTCTCAAAATATGTTCTCATCCTTAACTGGTTGCAAAATTAACTTTGATAACAATTGTTTCCTGCCTTTATGGTTTTTTTTCTACCTGCAGCCTAGCTTTATTTCAGCTTAAATATGTATTTGCTGAGTGCTAATTTGAACATCAATGCTTTTTAAAAAACAATCTGCTGTGATTGGTTAGCTTTATTGGCCTAAACGATCACCTACTTCAATTGATGTCAAGAGTTGATTAAAACTTGAATAAATCACACTTTCATTAATAATGAAAAAAAAATGTTTCACAAATTCTGGATACAAAGTAGCAAAAAACTTATTTATTTTTAGATTTTGCACATGATACAAGAATGAATCTTATATATATATATATATATATATATATATATATATATATATATATATATATATAATTTTTTAGGCTCTAGTGGCCTTTGTTTTTATTATTCTTGAAAGTAGGTAGACAGGACTAGGATTAGAGAAATGGGGAAGACAAGCGGTAAAGGTAAACAGGCTGAGACCTGGACCTGTGACAGCCAAGTTAAGGACCAAAACCTCTGTACATTGGCGTGCTTAACCCCTACACCACCGCCACACCCCAGGGAATGATTCTCTTTTAATTAAACGCCTTAACATTTTTACAGGAAAGTATGTGTTTACCATAATATGACTGATAACAAAAAAACATCCATCCATCATCCATCTTTGCCCACTTAGTCTTATCAGGGTCGCGATGGGGGCGGTGCCTGTTTCCAGCAGTCTACAGGTGAGAAGCCTGGTACACCCTGGACAGGTCGCCTGTCTTTTGCTGATAACAAACATTATTTAAGTTATCTATCAGCAAAATAGATCATGTAAACATACACTTGGTCACTCTGCACTTTTCTCTGAATTAAAATTAAATTTAGAGCCGATAAAGAAAAGCTTCATCAGAGAAAAATGAAAGGTTAGAATGGAATTCAGTTTTCCTAGAAAAATCTGTAGGGTCTCAACTACTGTGGTTATGAAATGTCCACATAATGGGTGATATTAGGAGAACATTTGTAAGTCAAATTGTGACATGCTAATGGACTCAGGCCAAAGATGAATGATAGCTAAAAGTAAATCCAAAGTCCAATAGTTTAACAGTCTGCGTTCCCATTTAATATTTTTTTACAGCTGTTTTTCCTAGCAGGTGCTGCTTGGGATTAAGTAAATGCATATTTCTAGAGGTTTAATATGTAATTTGGAATCTTCAATGTTTGATTTCAGTTGTGCAGTTTTAGCTGGGGCCATGTGCTAGGATTGCAGTCCAACCCATTGTTCTCAAAGGAAAACTTGCCAAAAGTTTGAATGTTTTGTGCAGCTTCCTGCTTTATCCATGCCTTCAATGTAACTCTGCTCCATGAAAACATTTTGCACAGGCTAAGAAATGTCACTGTGAGTAAAAATGTTTTCATCCTTCAGAGCTTTTCTTTTCTTCTTGTTGTTTTTGTCATCCTCTGAAGGTCCTAGGCCATCCTCCATAAACTCTTCCTGTTTGCATGGAAGGTTTTTTTTTTTTTTTCTTACACCTGCCATCAGTTGGACATTAAGTACTCTGAATGTTACATTATTTAACATTACCTCAGAGCTCTATGAATGTGTTTGTTGCTTTAAAAAAAACAAGGTTTACTGTTCTGTGTGATGTTATATATTTTATTGTATTCACTGTGGAAAAGTGATGGTTTATTGGTTTATTATTAATAAAATCTCATCGATCACAGCTTGGTGTCCATCTCATTTTAATGTGTGCTTTATGTTTTTTTTTTTATGTTGGCACTCTCATTCTGTTTAACCTTGTTTTTTTCTGTTCTTCATTTCAAGTTTCCATTAAATGAAGCTGGTCTGTTGTTCTCTGGCATCTACAGTATCAAAGCCTGCAGTTGAAGGTTATAGCTCCCAGATGCAACACCACTTTGTTTCATTCACTAGATGGCGCTGCTGTGCCACTGGTAAACACTGAGCCCCTTATATGAAACTCCCTTATATGATTCAGATCAGCCACAGAAAATAAAGGGATTTTAAACAAGAAAGTCCTTCTATATTGGCATTATTATTATTGTTATTATTTTAAATCCAAATCAGAATCCTTTTGAGACAGACTGGAACAAGGTAAGTGTTCACATTTTACTTCATATGCAACTGGGAAGGATTATGGACAAAAACACTTTAAGATTTTGTGTGGTATCTAATTTAAAAATAAATAAAAACTTTAAAACTCAGGAAAAAACATGAAACTAAACTGTATTTTTAAATCACTTCAGAGATAATATAAACATTTATTATTATTTTTGTATCAGTTCAATTGCCGTTAAATAAAACAGACAATAAATGTTTTAAATGAGGAGGAAGGAGTGAACCAGATATGTGAAGCTATTAATTTTTTTGTTCATCTATGCTTCAAATCACACCCAGCTGAAATCCTAATGGGGCCATGACAAAGCCCCTCTTGCTTTATCCCCAGCCCACCAAAAATGACCACACCCACCCATTTGCCTAAAACCCCATGCTAAAATATTTTTTAACTAGCTAACAAAGATGTTAAGAAAAAAAAAAAAAAAGAAATTTGTTGGAGTTTAGCCATTTGTCAACCATTAGACACAATATTGCAGTGCTTTCATGGTGAGCAACACAAGGGGGCGCTGCTCCATTGTGGGACATAATAGTAAGAGACAGGAAAGTAGTCTGGGGAGCATGCACTTTACATTTAGGATAGAGAATACTGGAATGGAAATGCTGGGAATTGCTTGGAACCATATCATATGTACTTGCAGTTCTAGTTGATGTTTTAGTGCTAATGACAACCCTTTTGAACAAAAAATTGCATTCCTCTTATCAAAAATCCCCATTGCTCCCACCTGATGATATGGATCATGACTGAAAGTAAAATTTGCCTGATGCAATATCCAGGATGAGCTTCCTTTGGATGGTGGTTGGAATTGGAGTGGAGCTGGTGCTCCTCAACAAGGAGGGAACTCATGTGGTACCCCCTGAACCTTACTTTTAAAAGTTAAAATAAAAGATCAGACCAGGGGCATTGCACACCCAGAGCTCTAGAGGTGCTATATATCGTTATTCGTTGTAGAACATTTTTAGATCCCACCTAAGGAACTAGAGTTAATGGCTGAGTAGAAAATTTTTGGGTCAACCCTCTTGGGAGAATGTGTGTATTTATTTTTTTGTTTGTTTTAGCAATGTCTAGAAAATTAGCTGCATATCAAAAACTGCTCACAAAATTCATTTTGGTTTTTGAGTGTAATAGTTTACGTGACATATTTGAAAAATAGCTGACTTAAAGTTAAATTATTTCTAAATGTAAGGCTTTTCAGATTTTTCCATCTAATGCCAACATCCTTGCTTTGTCACCTGTTATCTTGATTGTAGAGTTTTACAAAATACAAAACAATGATATTTTACATATTATTATTCTATACCTGTGTTGCTGCATAAAATCCAGGACCTTCACATAGCTCATAAAGAGGTTTGTCAATAAGGACAGTGTATTACAGAATATGGATAAAAACAGAAAAATTGCAAGATTTTGTTGCATTAAACAAATCTATATAGCCTTAGAAGCTAATAGATTTTTGCATGACGGTAAGTAAACACACAGGATGCCTTATGGACACATCATAAAACATTAAATAACTTTATAGAATTTCAATAGGATTAAAAATTGAGGGCAACTGGGTACTGCATGTTTAATATATGTCTTAGGTTTGCATTAATAAATTCAGCTGTTAACAGAGTTTTTCAATACAAAGCCCTGTGCTACACAAACAGGATGTTATCCAGAAGTGGTGAAGAACAGATGATCGTAGTCTGTAATACTTCTACGCATTTGATGATTCTTGTTAAACACAAGGTTTGTCTGTGTGCTTGGTGGGTTTTGTTGAACTACCACAGGTCCCAGTACAACTTGTCAGGAGGACTCCTGTGCCAACATGGGGATCTGCATCCAGCAGTGGGAGAACTACACCTGCGACTGTTCCATGACGTCCTACACTGGGACACAGTGCAATGACCGTGAGTCCATTCATTCATCCTCGCATGTCAAATATTGCACCAATCAACTCTCGTATTAAAACATTGGTAATGCAATGAATTATCCAGCAGGAGAATATGTTATAGATCACACCATGCCTTTTTTAAGACTAACAAATTCACCTAACAAAGATATGAAGAAATACTGCCTTTAGCACTTTGGGGTATTCATTTGTTATAAAATAAAGTTGTTTTCTCTCAATCCCAAAGAAAAAGACTTGCCTACTAAGCAAAGCTGCATCTTCCTACCTGGGTGTCGCTAATTTCATGATGTCACTGTATCACTCCACTTCTGAAGGCTGAACACAGAGCTAGACCTCTTGAAATAGGTTTTTCATTACATCAGATATTAGCTAAAAAAAGTTGCTGTGACAAGTAGATTAGCTGCTAAAAGAGTCACTTCATCTCAACTTTGAGCTGGAATCATTGCAATTTGCTTCACCTCATGCCTGCCCGATCTGTAAAAGTGTCAAAAAAATGTGTGAAATTGTTTATTGTGCAGGCACAGCACGGCTAAGGTAGGTGCTTCCTGGATGGGGGGATTCACACAAACTTATTCTCATTCTGCTCATTATTATAGGACATGTTGTACCTGAACTTGATAAAAGAATGGCTTAACACGGTTAAAAGTTTTAAAAAGTTGATTTTGCAAGTTGTTGACCCTTTAAGCAGTGTTTGTTGCACAGTTTTCTAGCTAAGATTCTCTGTCATCTAGTTCATAGTTATTCCAAAAAAATAAAAGAAATCCCCTGGACTTTGTTTCCAAGTTTGAAGACGTTTTGCTTCCCATCCAGGAAGACTCGGCGGTACAACTACATCTTATGAACAAAGGACATTCTTTTGCAGACCAGAATGTTCAAATTTTGGACAAAGAAGACAGGTGGTTTGAGAGGGGTGTGAAGGAAGCCAACTAAGTTAAGAGAGAAAAAATGTGCATGTTTTGTAAGCCAAAACAAGGTTTGGTTTTTGGTCAACTCTATAAAGCCTTGAACTTTCTGAAATTTCTGACATTTTGAATTGAAAAAGCTTCCTAGATCGGAAGTTAAACGTCTTCAAAGTCCAGTGGATTTTTTTTTTTTTTTTTTACTTTTTAATAATATTGTACAGTTTATACATGTTGTATGATCTTACTAAATAAAATAATAAATAATAATAAAAATAAATAAAAAGTGCACAACAGCTCCATCTCTTAAAATTGTCCTTCCCTGATCACTTTATAAAATCTTAATAACCTTTGTGCAGTTTAGAAATATTAACGCAGATACAGTATATCATAACTGTGACCTCTATTTTTTTTTACCACGTTCATGCTTCTGATTCAAGATAGTTGTTCTCTATATCGAAGATGGAAAAAAAATTCCTTCCTTTTGCCCAGGTTTCAAAAAGAAATATAGGGTATTCCAGCTAAAATCAGTGCAGCCATGTTCATTTTGCTTCAGTCTTACACCTCACTGACTTCTTTGGTCCAAAATCGAGGCAAACACATCTGGTGGCTCCTAGCAAGATGTATTTTTGGGAGTTTGTCAATTCACAAATCTATCCACAATTCATCTTGCTTGCAAGGTAATGATGCATGCATTGCATTAGTAGGGCATATATAAGATGGCACCAGTAGCAGTAAGAGAAAGCATCCAATACCTTGCTAATGTCAGGCAAGCAGTTGGTTGCCAGACATTAGCAGTACCTTCTTTGTAGTACCCTCTTTAAAAACTGACTTTGTTCCTATAACTGTAAGACTCATTGCCAGCAAACAAAGACAATGCATTAATCTCCATTTCACCCCTCTGCATAATAATATAGACAAAATAGGAACTTCCAGCACAGTCACACTTAGAAAACGTGTAAAACAACATGGACTAAAGATTGCAGTTATCTCTCTAGTAATTTTGAACACTCAAGGTACTTTACACTTTAGCCATGTCAACCTAGTTAAACTGACAGACAACCACACATCCATGCAACATCATGCAGGTTAATAAGCGACATGTGACTAGGTGCCTTTATCTGGAACATGATATGTTCCAAGATGATTTCTTCCATCTGAGGCACTGTCAACCAATAAAACATGTAAAGAGTTTTTTAAAACGACCATGAAGTGAGGCGTATGTTTCAAATGCCACAATAATATTTCCTCAGAACGTGAGTTCTTAAGAGCAGTGTTTGGAGACTTGGAGATCACCAAGTTTCAACATACTGAGACTGACACGACCAAACATCTGTTCAAATAGTAGAAAGCTTCATATGCGGTTCTCTTCTGTTTGTGGTAACTACAATCCAATAGGCTTTAGTGTTGTATAATAGCAGTTTCTGGCTTTCACTTGACTTGTCAGAACACAGCTGGTACTGTCTTGATCAGTCTTTGCCATTTAGTGTCTGTTCAGTTTTGCAGTGTTTTAGTCTGCTGACCAAACTGGTCATTGTGTTTTTGCATTGTATTTGATTGTTTGGTTCATTCTTCACCTTGATAACCATTCTACAGTGATATCTATTATCTTACTCTGTTTATTTACATAGAGCCAATTCTCTACACATGTCATCTCAAGGCTCTTTACAGAGACAGTACAGTCTGATTGGTTTCTGTCAAGGAAAACTAGTTGATTGCATCCAGTCACTGACTTGCAAGAGATGCTCCTCCTGGATTAGTTTGCAGCAACAATTTTCACTTGTATTTTATTGTTGACTCTTCAAAAATGTCTCACACCAAGCAGGCACGTAATGACAATGGAGAGACTCTTTTAATAGGAAGAAACCTCCAACAGAAAATATTGTGGGTTTTATTGTGCCATTAAAAGCAAAGTACTGTACTTAGTTAATTGCATAAAATTGTATCACAATGTGGGTTTTCAGCACAGAGCAGCTTAGAAAGGTTACTGTTAATTTTTGCTGCTACTGTTATTGTAGGGTAAGTGAATTCTGTATGGTGTGCAGTGGTATTCAAAGATCTGTGCTTTGGGTGAATGTTTAGCAATTAACAATCTATTACAAAAACATCTTTTTACATTTCATGTATAATATTCTCTACCTTAATGTGAATTCAGTTTTTCTGATGTGAACTTTTCTTCTTTAGAATTCATACAGTTACCGATTTTTTTCTCATCATTTTCTTTTATTTTCATTTTTCTTTTATTAAAAATAATCAAAACGGCTTACAGTGTAGCTAGGCTTTATTTATTTTTTTAAATGTATGAGAACTTGAAGCAGACACCATGTTTGTCTGGATCAAAAGCACTCAGCCGAGAGGATTCATCTGATTAAGATATCTTCTGGACACCTCTCTGGAGGAAATCTGGGAGCAGCCCTGGGAAAAAAAACGGGAGGATTATATATCTCTTATGGCCTGGTACACAGAAAAGGGATGACTGGACCTGTTACTCCAGCAAAGGTTTCTGGTGGATGGAGAGACTATAATCCATAACACAGAGTCCTAAACATCTTTAAAGCTTCTCAAAAATGTTACAATATCCAATTCAGCTAATCATTTTTCGACTGTTTCTGTAGTTTATAGCATTTCATTTTCCCTATAATGCATTTGAACTCATCCTAGATTTAGTATTACACTTTTTTGGTGGTGTTGATGAGCAAAGTTTATGTAAAGAATTACTCATTGTGTTTAGGGAGAACACTTCTATTTATAAGAAAATCTCTGTAATGCAACATTTTAAATGAATGAGAGCTGAGGATTTGTTTGCGACTTGTTTCTCTTCTTAGGTTCAGACATGAATGCTTTTCGGCCCCATACAATAATCCTTTGAAACAGGTATCTGACTCTATATTGACATGAAGTTGCATCAGTGTCCATAAACGTCTCAGCCTCAGCAGTGGAAATTCACCAAACCATTTCATGTGGTTCCGATTAGATTGTTTGTCTCGCTTTTATTTCGGTAAAGCTCAAGGTTGGGGTTAAAGTACAGTAAACAATGTTTATGTTGAACACCCTGACAATAGGAGTATAAAGTCAATATGCAAGTCCCACCAAAAAAGTACAATTAATTATTTATGATAAAAGAATTATTTGGATTAAGGGGCTGCATGGTGGCACAGTTTTTAGCAATGTTACGGGGTGTTTTTGCATTAAGTTTGCATGTTCTCCATGTGTGTGCTGGTTTTCTCCAGGTCCTCTCACAGTCCTAAAACATCGCTGTTAGGTTAATTGGCGTCTCTAACTTTTCCTTAGCAGTAAGTGTATATGTATGGTTGTATGTTTTTGTTTTGCCCTTCAATTTGAATTTATAAAATAAATATCTGCACAAGTCAACAAAAGTTATCATAATTTTCAGGTATATTTTCAATCCCTTTAATCAAGGCAATGATTCCATCACTCCTTTTAAAGTCACAAGCTAATAGCCTGTAAACACTTTTAAGGAAAATGGGGGTGTAATTGTTTAAAAAACTATGGTTAAAGAATAAGAAACAAAACAATCAATAAAACTACTACAATGTAATTACAGAAAAAAAAGAGATGGATAAGGGTTATTGAAAATAACACTGAATAAAACCCTTTCGTTTATTCAAAGATTCCTTTGTCTTTCTGTAGAACTGAAAGAGAGGGTTTCCCTGTCTAATATGGACTTCAAATACCTTACTATATGGTCATATATATTTTTCATGGGAAAGATTTGAAAATAATTTTAAAAATAAGATGAGGTCTCCAATAACTTCTCACACCAGAGCCACTATAATGAACCAGAGAAGGTTGCCCTTACTCTGTATTCTTGGTCAAATATCTTTTTATTTTCTCCTAACCAAACTGTATTTCCTCTCTGCTCCTCTCTCTGCTGGATGTTTCAATCAGCTTCATCTTCAACATAACTTCTGTCTGTTCAAGACCATTGTTAAATAAAGCTCTGTTTTTAAGGTTTATTTTGTTTTCAGTCATATGTGTTAACTCACTTTTGTTGTTAGAGTGAGGCAAATATGATGAGAATCATAATTTATTAATCCCTTGCAGGAAATTCTTTTTTTTTTTGCAATGCAACCGTTTA